ACCCCCTAACCCCTTCCGCCGCCCAGGAGGCGCGGAGACCCGCGGTGCTCGGATCCGCCGGCAGAGGGAGCCCTCCCACCCTCCAGGCACTCGTTCGCAGGGCGAGGTGCGCATGCGTCTTGGGCCGCACTTTCCGGTAGTGTGGCGGAACCGCCTCCCTGTTTCGCGCCATTTGACGACACTTGCACACAGCGGCCAGCCGCAGTGACACCGCCATGGCGTCACCTTTTAGCGGGGTCTTGCAGCTCACGGACCTGGACGATTTTATCGGGCCTTCTCAGGTGGGCCGACCCGGGTTAGCGGCGGGGAGCGGGTGGGCCCGGGCGGGGCTGCGCTTGGGCCACCCCTCGCGCGCTAGGAAAAAAACAATCCCTCCCTGCCTCAGTTTCTCTGCCGAGAAATGAGGTCCAAATCCCGGAACCCGGCAAGTGCCCTCCAGGCCTCCGGCGACCCGGGCCTAGGCCTCGGGCGTTCTGGGTCTTTTCTTGCCAACCGAAGCCCGAAGGGCTGTGTCCCCAACCGCTTCCTGTGCCCTAGGGTGTCGGGACAGGCCTCGGGGAGAGGCACCGCTGGAGCGCAGGGCAGGAGGCGGCTGACCTCGCCACCGCCGGACGTCCTACTGGGCCGGCCCCCCTCTAGTCCCCTGCTTGCTCATCTGTATCAACCCCACCTCAGCGGCGGGCAGGCAGGAATCCCAGACGCGCAGCAGTGGCTTCTGGGGTTCACTGCTCTTGACATCGCCCTGGGGAGAGGCAGGGCGTGCTCCTCGAGGGGCCAGGCTGGTGTCCCCTTATCTGGGCGCTCCCCGCAGCCCTCCTAGAGCCAGGAAGTCTTCCCGCCCGGCCTTCGAAGCATCACCTTAAGGAAGGCAGTGGCGAGTGTGGTCTTCATAATAGTGAGAGATAACTCGAGGACAAGGGAAAAAGAGGAACTTCTCTGCGAGGCACTGGGCAGAGAGAAGGCCTCCAGACATTTCCAAGCACAGCGTTCTTGGGAGCCCGTGGCCTCCTCTTGGAAGCTAGTGCCACGCTCTGGTCTCTGTGTGGCAGCCACGCTTTACACTTAGGGTGAAGGTCAGGATCGGTGGTGTCTCTACAGATGGGTAGTTTGTGGACAGTTAGCCCCACAGGGTGGCCAGCCGGGCTGGACAGCTTCTGAGGCAGGAAGGTGCACAGCTCAGGGCAGAGACTTGAGGCCCAAAGTCTGGCTTCCATGGGAACCTTGGCCACTCAGGAGCCCTGGTTTGGGGTCTCTTCTCTGTGTAGGAATGTATCAAGCCTGTGAAGGTGGAAAAGAGACCAGGAAGCAGCGTGACCAAGATCCACATCGAGGATGACGGGAGTTACGTCCAGGTTGACCACGTAAGGTAGCGGGGCTTCTGCACGCACAGCTCACTGCTCCAAACACCTTCCTCTGCTTCACCTGTCATGGAGTGGTGCCAACCCGGAGGCTTTCACATCTCACCAGTCCTTTCTCACTGAGCAACTTGGGGAGGACAGGGCCAGGGCGCCTGGGGAGGGTGATGGGAGTTCCAGCTGAGCAGCGAACTTGACATGTTTTGCGGAGGTGGTGGGTCCTGTGCACACTCTCCCCCCATCCTATGTAAGAGTCTCTAGTTCAGACCTCTTGTTCTTAGAGGACACCTGCTTTCTCTCTAATTAAGTGGTGATAAGATCCTGACGAAACAGTATTAAAGCTCACCCCGAGTGCTATTTGGACTCTCAAGACCAATCCCTTGAACTGCTGCACTGAGAAATGGCTCCCAACCCAGCATCCATCCACGCCTGGCCCAGGAGACCTCCTGAGTCAGGGAGGAGCAGCAGGGGGGCCCGAGGTGGGGGTGTGCAGATCTCTCTGCAGGATGAACAGTGGGATGGGGTGGTCACGGGGAGAGAGCCAGCTGTGTACTCTGTTCATGAGCATGAATAACAGCACACCACTGCGCTCACCCATACCTGGTGCTGGTGCAAGGACCTGGTACTCACAAGGGGTCTCACAAATTAAGGGACCAGGGAGGACACAGGGCCCCAGTGGCCCTGCAGTCATATCAGTGGGTCTTGAGCCCCCAGCCTCCACTTTCACAGCATTGTGAGTCTGGAGGCGGATCCAACCCCAGGAATATGGGTCAGACCGTGACTAGCACAACCCACAGGCCTAGCAGAGCCTGGGGCTAGGTGGGAGTCTGACCCAGCGCCTTGTTTGCTATGTGTCCTGGGCCCCTGCAGCTCTCCTGGCTTTGTCTCAGACCATTCCCCTGTGTGCTAGGGGTGCTGGCGAGCTTGCACTGGGATCGCTTTGTGTCTGAGGAAGCCGCTGCAGGTTGCCCGGAGTCCCCTACACCGTGGCCTGTGGTTGTTGCTGCCCACTGTGGCCCCATCCCCAGGGGCAGGCCCACATCCTCCCTCTACTTGCCCTCTCCTGTCCTGTGTCCCTCTGTCCCATCTTCCTCTGTCCGCCCCTGATCCCCCCTCCGTCTTTCAGAGCCCCTCTCTCAGTGTCCTCCTTTCCCATGGTCCCTGGGGACCCCAAGGGTGGGCAGGTCAGCACTTCTCTGCTGAACCCACAACACGAGCCTCATTCATTGGCTGTGACATGCTCACCAAGCTTGTACCAAGATATGATGCGATATGGGAATCTAGAATGTATATGAGCACTTTTGGAATAAATGTTTACTCTTTTAAAACATTCTGATAACCCTGAATTGTACCCTACATCTTTAAAATAAACATTGCTGGACTTGTGGCTCAAGTCTGTCACCCCAGTACTTTGGGAGACGGAGGCAAGAGGATTGCCTGAGCCCAGGTGTTCAAGACCAACCTGGGCAAACTAGTGAGACCTCGTCTCTACAATAAATCAAAAAATTAGCCAGGTGTGGTGGTGTGTGCCTGTAGTTCCAGCCACTTGGAAGGCTGAGGTGGAAGGATCACCTGAGCCCAGCAGGTCAAGGCTGTGGTGGCCATCAGCGTGCCACTGCACTCCAGCCTGGGCGACAGTGAGACTCCCACTTAAAAAAAGTTAAATTTAAATTTAAAAAAATAATAAATAAAAACATTCTTAGTGGCACAGAAACCCAGCATCTACCACAGTGCTTGTCAGTGGTGGCACAGGCAAGGGAAAGAGAGGTTTCTGTAGGCATCATTGTCATAAGATTGCCTGTCCTCATACAGAGGGAACACCTGTGCACTTGACTCTTGCTTCCTTGCAGGACGGCAGGATCCAGAGGCTGGAGAAGGCCAAGGTCTCCCTGAACGACTGCCTGGCATGCAGTGGCTGCGTCACCTCAGCAGAGACTGTGCTCATCACTCAGCAGAGCCACAAGGAGCTGCGGAAGGTTCTAGATGCTAATAAGGTAAGTGATGGGGGTATCCTTGACTCTGCTTGAAGCTGAAATCAACCCAGGAGTGGCAACTTTTGCCGAGGGCAGGCATTCTCTGGTGCCACCATTCTATGTCTTCAAGTGACTCCCACCTTTCTGAGTCTTGCCAGTGGGATCCTGACTTACTTACCCAACATTGAAAGTCAGACCCTAAGTTCTGGGTTCCAAATACACAGCAAAATGACTCACCTTGGCCAGGCACAGTGGCTCATACCTGTAATCCCGGCACTTTGGGAGGTCAAGGCAGGAGGACTGCTTGAGCCCGGCATTCCAGACCAGCTGGCTAACATAGCAAGACCCTGTCTCTACAAAAAAAAAAATATATATATATATATATTAGCTGAGTGTGGTGGTACATGCCTGTAGTCCCAGCTACCTGGGAGACTGAGATGGGAGGATCACTTGAGCCCAGGAGTTGGAGGCTGCAGTGAGCTATGGTTTCACTACTACACTCCAGCCTGGGTGACAGAGCAAGGGCTTGTCTCTGAAATAAATAAACACGGTGTCTGTGTGGTGCCAGCACCCTCCCTCGGAGCCAAGAGTACCCTCCTTCACATACCTGCAGTATAAGCAGTGTGTTCCTTGCTTTGCAGGTGGCTGCACCGGCTCAGCAGAAGCTGGTTGTGGTCTCCGTCTCGCCACAGTCCAGAGCATCCCTGGCTGCTCGGTGTCAGCTGAATCCCACAGACACTGCCAGGAAGTTAACCTCATTCTTTAAAAAAATAGGTAGGCATGGAGCACAGCGTGGACACCACAGCCCAGAGCCTAGCCTAAGGTACCACCAAGTCCCCATCCTGAGCTTTGGCGCCACGGAAGCCCTTTGCCCTGTGTCTCAACGTGAGTGAGAGCAGTGCCTCTCAGGAGAAGGCACCTGGACTGGGACTGGCTCTCTGAGCCCAGGACCCCTCACGGTGCTGTTCCAACCACCATCACCAAGGCAATGTGCCAGGCCTGCAGTGGGCCTGGGCTCAGGCTGGCCTTGGTTAACAGCTGAGCCGGGAGCTGGACTGGGGGAGGATATGGGTGTCCTGAGAGGCCCCCACCACCCTAGCTCCAGGGCCAGGTGGCTGGCAGCCCCAGGAGGGATGCAGAAATGGCGTGGTCCCCCCCCCCGTGTGCATTCACCAATACTTCTGTACCTGGCGGGCAGCCCAGTGCTGTCATCTGACCGATGGCCAGGGGTCTCTCACACAGGAACCTTGTTTACAGACGCCCTGTACTGTTCCCTGACCCATGTCCAGTTTATGCCAGCCTGACCCTGGGAGCTGGGATGGGCCAGCGCCTTTCCTGGGGCCCAGGGCGTTGTCCAAGCAGGGTTCCCATGGGGAGTTTTAATTAGGTTTAAAGCCAGCAGGCACGAGTTCAGGGGGGGCCCTGCTATGGCTGGGTGGGCACCACACTGTGTCTGCAGAGTCTGGGATGTGGGCCCATTGGGGCCCATCTGGCTCATCCATCGTCCCCTGGGAGGGGTCAGCCACGTTGAGAGAGGAGGCGGGCTGGAGATTGGAGGGTGGCCACCTGCTTCTGGCATGGGGCAGTTAGATCTGCACTCACAGGTGCCAGCACTTGCCGCAGTGGGGCTGATGCTTCCTTGCAGGAAGTGGGTGTCCCACGCCGTCTCCTGGGCAGCACCAGGGGCGTCCATACACCAACCTGTGCCATGGCCCTCTAGAGTGATATTTCCCGCACCACTATGGGCCAGTGAGGTGCAGCAGAAGGCAGGCCCTGCTTAGTGTGGTGGGCAGTGCAGCCCCTCCACGGCCAGCACAGGACTGGGCGAGACGCAGTTCCAGTCGGGTGGGCGGGGCTCACCCGTGAGCTTCCTCGCTGGGGGTAAGTGGTGCCTGCCCTCCAGGGGTCCACTTTGTCTTCGATACGGCTTTCTCAAGGAACTTCAGCCTCCTGGAATGCCAGCGGGAGTTCGTGCGGCGCTTCCGAGGACAGGCCCTGCCGGTGCTGGCATCCGCCTGCCCAGGTAGCAAGTTCAAGCAAGTGCAGACTTGACATGGGTCATGGGAATGGCAGGTGGACGCCAGTGGATTGGGATGGGGTGGATATGTGTGCCCTGGGCCTGGGGCGGCACCTGTGGTCCCCTGGATTCCCTGTGAAAGTGATCACCTGCTGGGACCACATGATGGTGGTGAAAAGATGGGAACCTCCTTAACTGTCACAGTGACATTTAATGTCTTGTGCAAGTGGGTCCACCCACAGAATGTCATACCACTGCAAGGCGCATGGAGGGCCACCTCATGTGCCTACCAGCCCCGAGTGTGGAGTGTGCGCCCACTGGCCTATGCCCTGTCGTCTCAGGCTGGATCTGCTATGCTGAGAAGACCCATGGCAGCTTCCTCCTCCCTCACCTAAGCACTGCCCGGTCTCCGCAGCAGGTCATGGGCTCCCTGGTCAAGGACTTCTTTGCCCAGCAGCAGGTGGGCCAGGAGAGGGTGACCGTGTGATACTTGATGCGGGGCTGCGGGAGGTGCAGGGCCCTCACGTGGCAACTGGCCATGCGGAGCGGGACGTCCCCACCCCCTTCCCACACAGCCAGCTCTTCCACCAGCACCACAGGGCCAGGATCTGATCCTAGGTGCTCCTCCTGCAGCCTGAGGGGATGAGAATCAGATCGGGGGCAGGAGCACACGAGGGCACCCTGCGCATCCCCCATGCAATAGGAGGCTATGTGGAAGCTAGGCCTGATGCCAGGAAAAGGCAGGAGAGGGGCCGTCTCTCAATGGCTGCAGGCTGCGAGCACCAGCCCATCACTGCCCCATCTTCCCCATGCCTGGACAGGTTTGTCTCCACTGTGACCTCCTCATCAGGCCTGCAGTGTGGTATTCCTCTTCCCCTGTTGGTGTCAGCTGTCGGGGTGCAGATGCACTGTGTGTGGGTCCGTGTGGGTTTTAGATGAGCCAGGAGCTGTGGTGTCTTCTGCCTGTCTATGTAGCACTTGACTCCAGACAAGATCTACCACGTGACAGTGATGCCCTGCTACGACAAAAAACTAGAGGCCTCCAGACCTGAATTTTTCAACCAGGAGCACCAGACCCGTGATGTGGATTGCGTCCTCACGACAGGTGTGGCCAGGCCGCCCCATACCCTTGAGCCTCCTGGGCACAGATGGCACTGTGGGGACCCTGCCCATGGGGGCACCAGCTGGAGCAGGGGGCTGTGTCTCCCTGCTCGGAGCCAGCCAGGCCATGCACAGCCTGACCCATCTGGGTGGGAAGGCAGGGCCTCTTCGTCTGCAGTAAAGCGAGTCAGGGGGATGGGCAGAGGTGCTGCAGTCCAGCCACATTGGCCCACGTTGGTCAACCAGTGCGTATGTTAAGCAGCCTCAGTCTCCCCAGGGCTTACAAGACAGGAAAATACACACCCGGGAGGCTGGACAGACAGTAAACGGGCAGTGACCCTGGCTGCTGTCACTTGCCCCAGAGCAGGGACCGGGCAGCCTCCAGAGGGTCTTTAGAGGTGGCTGGGGAAATGGAGGGCTTGGGTGTTCTCTGAGGTTTTTGCTGAGATCAGCTCAAGTGTCTGTTGTGCCTTTGTTGCAGGAGAAGTCTTCAAGTTGCTGGAAGAGGATGGTGTCTCACTGTCAGACCTGGAGCCGGCCCCTTTGGACAGCCTGTAAGTGGCTGCCTGCCATGAAGGCACCTTCATGCTGGCTCCAGATCCCACCTGTGGGGCAGGGTGGCATCTCCTTCCTCTCTGCCTGCCTTCGCTCCCTCCACCTCACAGCTTGCCTCGGTGTCCACAGAAGTGACTGAGTCACGTGCTGGCCAACAGATAGTCCTGCTGGTCATCAGGACTGGATTCCTGGAACACAGGGATAGGTCATCTGAAGCACATGTCAGACCATCCCTCTGAATGAGAGATGGAGGCCATTCCCCGGGCCTCAGGAGACGGTGCTGAGGCCCTACCCTTCTCCTAGGTGCAACACGTCTGCAGAGGAGCCCACCAGCCACCGGGGTGGGGGCTCAGGGGGCTACCTGGAGCATGTGTTCCGGCACGCAGCCCGAGAGCTCTTTGGGATCCATGTAGCTGAGGTCACCTACAGGCCCCTGAGGTCAGTGGGATGGGCCAGAGTGCTGGCTAGGGCGGCCACACAGCCCCCAGCAGATCCTTGGGCTGCAGCCTGGGCCTGGGTACTCCCACTGGGGGTGCTCAGTGGAGGGATTTGGTACAGACCCTGGGCCGTAGGTACCCACAGGGCCCTTGCTGGCTCAGCCACGCAGATGACCAAAGCACTCCAGGCCTGGTCTGCCCATTGAAGGGGCAGTGACCCTGAGCCCAAGTGACCAGCATGGGCTGGGTGGCGGGTGCCTGACATGGGGCCGCCCCTGTGGACCTTGTGGACATCCTCCCACCCCCTCTATCCTTGCCCCTGCCCAGGAGGAGGGAGGGAGGCCGGGGAGTGTGATGGTGCCCTTGAAGCCAGCAGGCCTCCCCTTCTGGGCAGGTGGGTGGGCCTGGTGGTATGCCATGTAGATAGGCCCGGTCTGTGTCCCCAGGAACAAGGACCTCCAGGAGGTGACCCTAGAGAGGGAGGGCCAGGTGCTGCTGCATTTCGCAGCTGCCTATGGCTTCCGCAACATCCAGAACCTGGTGCAGAAGCTCCGGCGGGGCCGCTGCCCCTACCACTATGTGGAAGTCATGGCCTGCCCCTCAGGTAGCCTCCAAAGGCAGACCTGGACCCTCCTGGACCGGGGTGGAAGGGGGCACAGTGGGCCTGGGCATGTGCATGACTATATGTCCCGTCTGCCACAGGCTGCCTCAATGGCGGGGGCCAGCTGCAGACCCCTGACACACCCAGCAGGGAACTCCTGCAGCTTGTGGAACAGCTGTACCGCGCAGTCAAGGTCGAGGCACCTGAGGATGCACCTGGGGTCCCAGAGCTGTATGCGCGCTGGCTGCAGGGCGAGGGCTCAGAGCAAGTGGGCCGCCTGCTGCACACACAGTTCCATGCTGTGGAGAAGGCTGGCACCAGCCTCAGCATCAGATGGTAGAGGCCACTGGGGAAGCACCAGGACTCCAGAGGGCTGTGTGAGGCCCAGCAGCGATGCCACACACCCGAGACCCCAGGGCTCACCCCGATTCGGAGTGAGCTATAGGGCCATGCTGGAGCCATGTGGGAGCAGGACAGCATCAGCACTTGTGAGGGGGCCAGAGCCTACTCTTCAGGCTCCTCCAGCCTACTCTTCGGGCTCCACACTGGTTCTGCTGTGATACATGGGTGGCCAAGCTGGCAGAAGGCCCTGTGAGGCTCTGGGTCCATGGCTACTTTGCAGGGGTGGTAAGGACTTCAGTCAACCTCTGGGATGCCCACAGCAGAGCAATGCAGGTTCTCACCTTGACTTCTGGAGTCACTCCCGAAGCTGCAGTGCAGAGGGTGGAAGACAGACTGGACCTGCCAGGGTGTCCCCACTGCACCCCTGCATGGGTATCACCCGGCAGGAAGGGCTGCTGGTACCCTGTGCAGCTGTAGCCTGTGTGGCAAGGGTGCATGTGTCTGGCTGTCACGTGGGCAGCGGGCATCTCTGATGTCTCCCTCCCAGTTGGGATCCCTAAGCCTGTCCCCTGAAGCCTGCCTAATAAAGGGACTGTCCCACAGCACCTTGAGCTGCTCCCAGAGCGCGCCAGCACCAATCACAGCCTTTTCAAAGCTTTATTCACGGTCCAGAGCCTACAGCTCCCTAGTCACTACTTCCCTGGACACCCAGGTCTCAGGGCCCATGGGGTCCCCACTGAGAGGTCCTGTGTCCGTCCTGGGAAGCACCAGAGGCCAAGCACCTCGCCAGCCTTTTGAGGTTGGGCAGGACCTGGGAAGATTCCAGAGGCATCCCTCCTGTAGAATCAGCCAGCTGAGGCTGTGATGAGGACTGGAGCAGGCATGGCTCACTCGTGCTGGGCTGCGCTCAGGAACCCCCCCCCCGCCGCAGCACAAGGAGGACATGTGCCTGGAACTGCTGCAGCTCGCCCGCCCACTCAGCGTGCCTGTTCAGCACCGCCAGGACCTCAGCTGAGGCTACCTTGCCTGTGAACTTGCACACTGGCTCCTCTCTGCAGGGGAGGGCTGCGGTGGGGGGTCCTGCTGCCATGCCAGGAGCAAGGAGCCACAGATGGGGGACCAGGAGCACATGGGTGAGAGGGCACTAATGAGCCACTTCCCCAGTGCCAGGGATTAGGGAACCTCCCAATAAACAGTCCTCAGAGGTTCCAGGCCAGCAGGCCAGCCCTGATCAGCCTCTCATGGGGAGGGCTGGGGACAGTAGGGATAGCAGCCACACTCACACCACCCCCAAGAAGGACACTGGGATGGTGGGGACAACAGCTGCACTCATGCTACCTCCAGGAAGGGGTTGTAGAGGTGCTCCTTGCCTAGCGTTGATGACAGTGGGCACATCGTCCTCATCCCTCTCCTGGAACAACCATGGCCTCAGTCACAAGTGCACCACTGAGGGAGCCATGGCAGGACAATGTGTCCCAGGCCTGTGCTGGCTGGCTCCCCAGTGGTGTCTCTGCTGGGTCCCAGTATCCAAACCCCAGGAAGGAACCCGTCCTCCCACAGAGGGGGAAGGAGTGGCACACCCTGGCCCGGACAGCTTGGCTCACACGTGGTTGCCAGTCTCCACTTTCTGTGCAAACTTGAGGTTGCTCCACGTGTGCTTGTGGCCACAGAGCACCTGGAGGAGGAAGGTGCTCAGGGTGCACAGCCAGGCAGGGATGGGGAACCCAACAGGCCTGGCCTGGATCACCGGGTTCCATGGCCTTCCTCAGCGGGTGCAGAGGCGTGGGATAAGGAGAGTATGCAGAAGGGTGAGGCTGGCAGCTCACCATCTCAGGGGACAGGGTGCCCAGGATCTTGGTCAGGCTCTGGTACATCTGCCAGGCGGTGCTAAGGACAAGCGCAGCCACCCACCAACAACGCGTCCCCTGTCGGGGGAGGGCGGGTCAGCGAGGATAGGACGGGCGAGGGGGGTGTGATGGGCTCCAGGCGGTGGGTCCCCGGGAACAGCGCGGGTGTATCCGCACATCCGTCATACAACGAAGTAGCTCATGTGGTCGGGGGTGTGTCCGGGCGTAGCGAGGCAGCGCACATGGATGGCCCCAAACTACAGCACAGTACGGGCGGGCGGTGATCGGGTGAGGGCCGGGCGCCTTCCCCGCCCCCCAGGCGCAGCTCACCCACAGCTCCTTGCCGGGCGCTAGCCTGTAGTCCCTGTGGACGTCGGGGTGGGGGGGTGTCAGGGTCAGGCACGAGCGCCTCGCCCGGCCCGCCCTGTCCGCACTCACCAGTGGTGGGTGGTCAGCATGGCGGTAGGAGACACTCCCCTCCAGGCACACGATCTCCAGCAGCTGAAAGGGACAGGAATCACGGCCACAAGGAGGCCCAGGTGGGCCGCCCCCCTCCGTGTTGGGGCGCCAGGACCCAGGGCAGCGGGGGTGGGGAGCCAGCAGTCACCGAGCGCCCAGCGTGTGTGCCGGACAACCAGGCACCAGAGGAAGGGCGAAGAGGGGGCTGAAGGCGGCTCTGATTTCAGGGAGCCCCGAGGGAATCACGGCCACATAACGACCAGAGATGAGAGGCTAGGGCAGGGTCCGCTCCTACCGGGGTGGTTAGGGAGCTCTCGGAGGAACACTGACCGGTCCTGGCAAGGCTGCCCGGACCGTAGCGGCGCCCTCTGCCGCCCACGGGCCTGCCCTCACCCGCTTGGGCACGGCCACGGCCACGGTCACCGCCTCCCGTGTGTGCTCCTCGATGACCAGGTACATGTAATTGTCCTCAAGCACTGGAATGACCTTGACTTTCATGGTCGCAGAGCTCAGCCACCTCGTCCAAAAGAGGTCCCAGCCTATTGTGCCCCTTCTTCAGGGCAGGGGGGTCAGCTCTCCACACCCTAGGAAAGGCTGTGCAAAGCGGGGTCAGTCCCCATACACAATGCGGGCCAGAGAGGGAGCCTGCTCCCAGTTCCAGAGACCTCCCGAACCTCGTAAAAAACTCCACCCTCCAGACTCAAGTGCACCAGCGGGGCAGCCAGGGCGCCGAATCCAGACTGGGGGCAGTGCGACCACCGCCCAAGCCCCGCCTCTCCAGCCACTCGTTAGCCCCGCCCACCCATCAGGCCCGCCCCTCGTTAGTCATGCCCATCTCCCAGATCCCGCCCCTCCGGCCCCTCGTTAGTTCCCCCCATCCCCCAGGCCCCGCCTCTCCGGCTCCTCGGTAGTTCCGCCCACCTCCAAGGCTCCGCCCCTCCGACCCTAGTCGGCCGCGCCCACCACCTAGGCCCCGCCCCTCCGGCCTTCATCAGACTCGCCCGCCTCCCAGGCCTTGCTCCTCCAGCCCCTTGTTAGTCCCGCCCATCTCCCAGGCCCGGCCTCCGGCCACTCGTTAGAGTCCCGCCCACCCCTAGACCCCGCCCCTCCCTCACCGTAGCCCCGCCTTCCCCGATGTGGGGGGGGCCTCGCCCTTCAGGGCGTTTCTCTCTAGGCCCCGCCTACCTCCTCCGGCTCCGCCCCCAGCCCGAGCCCCCACCCTGGTAGGCCACGCCTCCTTCCCAGGTCCTGCCCGGCCGCGGCAATACCGCCTCCGACGCGGGACTGTCGGGTGCCCCCGCCGCACACCTCACCCGCACGGGCTGCGCCGGCTGGGCCGCACGGAATAGCTGCGCGGACGGACCGGCAGAAGCGGGGCCTCGGGCTGCGGGTCACCGGGTCTGGCCCCGCCCCCGGCAGCGGGTACCAGCGCGGGGTGGGGGGGAGTGCGCGTGCGCCGA